CAAATCTAGGTAGCAGAGGAGCAGGACATCCAAGAGGGTTCCTGGGCCCCAACTTCCTATTTTATACTTGAGTCTGGTTTTCCCTGAGCGAGATCCCAGTGCTTCTCCCAGGCTCTCAGCTGTCATTCAGCTTCCTGCACCATCTCAGGATGGGCACGCCCAGCTCCTCCACCTCCTTGGACCATTTAAGGATGGGCACCCCTAACTTCTCAGCTGGCCACATAGCAGCTTCCCATTAAGTCCTCTCACCTGCAGCCCTGTTCTGTCCAGGGACAAAGGACAGAATTTGTGACGCACCAAAGGTCACACTGGGCAAATGCCTGGCAAAAACAGAACTAGAACTCTGTTCTCTTGCCTCCTGTTTGGAACCATGTGTATGCCAGCTCCGACCACAGCCCCGGGACAGGCTGTCCACTCTTCAGCTTGGGCGGTGCCCCAGCTGGATCACGGCCTGGCAAGGACTCTAGCTGACTGGATCATTCCTAGGGCCAAGCTTGTGTCTCAGATACTCACCTCTACCTGATGGAACTGGGGTCTCTGTGACTCTCCTGTACTCACTGCTGGAACCTTTGGTTTTTGTGTAGAAAGTGGGAGCTCCTGGACATGGGTTGGCTTTTTTTATTTATGGGAGCGGGGGTCAGGGGCTCAGTCACACCTGCTGGTGCTCAGAGGTCACTTATGATAAAGCTCAGGGGACCAGATGTAGTGTGTGGGATTGGGTTAGGTTCAGCCTTGTGCAAGGCTTTAAATTCTGTATTGATCTTTCTGCCTGTCACTCCCCCTGCCCCAGTTTCCCTGGGTCTGGCTCTTACCCCAGAGATATACTTCCAACTTTAGTGAGAACTTGGAAAGACTCGGGAAACTTATCCTCAAGGCCCCATGGTCAGAAACTGGGAATGAGCTGGACTGATAATATAGCAGGTAGAGCATTATACGTGGCATTCCATATGGTTCCTCGAGCCCACCAGGAGTGATTTCTGAGCACAAAGTGAGGAGCAAACCATGAGCACTGCCAGGTATAGCCCCCAAACAAAATTAAAGCCTGGGAAAAAAACTGATTTCACAAAAAAAAAAAAAAAACTGATTTCACTTTTTGAGTGGTGCTGGATGGAATGAAAGGTCTAGTTCTGTCTCACACTTGCTGGTCCTGATCTTGAGCAGCTCATTTCTCTTCTGAGCCTTGGTCTGTGCCATCTGTGAAATGGGTACATATACGGCACAGACCATATATATATATATATATAGACACATATATATATATGTGCCCATTTCAAATGTATATATATATATCCTCAGTGGTGACTGTGAGGCTTAGAAGCCATGAAAAGAACATGCCTGGATCAGTGTTTGAAAGATGAAAGGGGCTTAGAAAGCCAGAGCCAACGTTGATTTCTTCCCAGGGTGAGGATCCCAGCTGTGGGCTCTTGGATGGAAGGAAGCCCAGCCTCCGCATAGGGATGGAGGCCACACCCACTGCTGGCAGCTCTACCTGGAGAACCTCCTTCCTGGGATGGGACTTAGACTCATCCCAGTCTGTCTCTGGGGCCATAGTCTCTGTGGTGCTTTCCCAGGTAATTTTCAGATCGTTCTGGTGACACACAGCTTGCTTGCCTGGCACTAGTCAAACTCCCACATCCCCAGCCTTGTTCAAAGAGGAACATTTTATTTTAAAATTTATTTATTTATTTATTTTGGGCCACACCTGGCAATGCTCTGGGTTACTTTTGGCCATGTGCTCAGGGATCACTCCTGGTGATGCTTGGGGGACTGTATGGAATGCTGGGGATAAAACCCTGGTTTCAGCTGCATACAAGGCAAATACTCTACCTGCTGTACTATGATCCCGGCCCCAAAGAGGAACATTTTAAGCAGGGTTTGTAGAAGCCATGGAAATTCCTTGCTCTATTCCCTGTGGAGTTTGGCTTATTCTGAGTCTGCTGGGTATTTTTCTTTTGGTCAGCTCTTGCAATTCCTTACAACATTCCTAGAGGCAATTGAGGTTCTGGCTCTAAACCCATCACTTCAGTTCAAGCCCCTTATCTGGCTAAGGCTCCAGTTCCTCGTTTGGGAAGTAAAGAATATAACACTCCCTCACAGGGTTACAGTGCAGAGAGAATTTGGAAAAAGCAAGTAATCAGAAAGGTGGGGTTTTGGAAAAGGCACTTGGTAAATATTAGACACAACATTTAAAAAAATTTTTTTTTGGGAAAACAGTTAAAAGGCAAACACATTCATTGTTGCCTCCTAGCTCTTCATAACACTCTGATCAGTTAATTTATTTTTGTTCCTCACTCCCCTGCAAAGGTGACTAGGCAGTTATGTTGCCAGGGATCAGATGGCGGGCCCAGGACATGCCAGGCACGCACTCTAAGCCCTTTGAGCTCTGCCCTCAGCTCCAGCTCTTCCAAACACTTAGAAGGAAATCATTCTGAAAAGCTAATGCCATTCCTCATTTTAGAATAATAACAAATGGATGTTCCACTAACCTCGTAAAAGGAAGTTGCAAGGCCGGACTTCAACTGTGAAGACCCCACTCTCGCCCATGCTCATTCATCTCCCTTACTCTGCAACTGGAGACAAATGCCCAGAGAGGGCATTTATATTCCCAGTGCTCCCTTCAGAGGAGGGAGACGAAGCGAAGATGATCTCTATAGCTACCTATGCTCAAGCAAATCTGTTAAGCACCACCTACTATGTGAAGGACTCTGCATCTGGGCTTCCCTTCCTTGTGAACCAGTGCCATTTGGAGGAGAATACAGCCTGGGTGAAGGTCTAGGTGGATTCTGTGCTCAGGAATGACCCCTGGCAGGGTTTGGGGGAATCATATACAGTTGGGTTAGCTGCAAACATGACAGCTAACTGTTTCTCTGGCCTAGGCTGATGTTGTCTTGTCCACCTCCAGTTCCCTCAAGGCCTGGGGCAGGGCTTGGCACAAATTGGGACCTTAGTAAATATTTTTTAATTAACAACAAATCAGTGAGCATTTATTGAGCATGGAATACTGCCCGGTGACAGGAGAAATTCAATTTACTATAACAAGTCTGGCATTATATCTCTGTTTTATAGGTGAGGGAATTAGGAGGTGCCAAGAGCCACTGAGGAACTCCAGGCTACACAAAGAATTGAGGGAGGAGTGAGACCAAGGTCCATCTCCCCAGGCTGTCCCAAGCTCCCTCCACCTACCTGCTCCCAGCCCTAGGCCTTCTCTGATAGTAATCAAGAACTCTCAGGAATGACTGGCTTTTAAATGATTGGCTCTGAGGAAATTAGGAGTATGCTAGAATGACCTCCTGAGTTCATGTATCACTTTAGAATAATCTGACTCTAGCATAGCTTCTGATTCTATCATTTTATTGTACAAGAATCTAGATAAACCAACAACCTAGGGTCAAGTCACAGCTTCCCAATTTTTGTTGTTTTGGGCCTGTGAGTGCTGAGGGCTTACGCCTGCTCCGCACTCATGGATCACTCCTGGCAGTGCATAAGGGACCATATGGAATGCCGGAAATCGAACCCAGGTTGTCCCCCTCCCCCCCAAGGCAAGTAACCTACCCACTGTACTATCACTTGGGCCACTTACCAATTTCTGACCATGTGGTCTTGGGGGTAAGTTTCCTGAGTCTTCCCAAAGTCTCAGTCACTTTGATCCTCCTGGAGTAAACATTTGGGAACAAACAAACTGAGCCCCCAACTTTTGAAAAGAAAATATATAACAATTTCGTTCCCAGTCCAGAGCCCTGTGTCTCAAATCAACTCACTCGACAAGAAAAGAGAGATTTTTGTTCTTTGAAGGGTGGCAAAGCAAACAGATAGCTGTCCATTGAGATGGAGAGGACAGCAGTGTGGAGGGGGATGTCCTGGGTGAACCAATCTCAGCCCCCTACCTCAGCGACTGGCAGGGCCCGCACTTTCGCTCAGAAACCTGCACCTGTTTCTTTGTAACCCTCCCGACCTCGGAGATCCTAATGTGGGGTGTAACCTTCAGGATCTCCATTCCCCTATGGTCTCCCTTTCAGAGCAAGGGGGCAGGAGGGATCCCAGATCCACACCATCCTGAGTTCCTGCTCTCTGACTTGAATGCCAGGTAGCTCCGAGCCTCTGGGCTCCTGTGCGGGAGGGCAGAATCACGGACACCTGCGACAGGTAGGGTCATGTGTCCATGCGCATCCCTTTCCCCCTTCTCTCTGGGGCGGGTCCCACCAGCTCGAGGCAGAGGTGCGTTGGAGGACGAGAAGAATGAAAACCACCCCCGCCCGCACGGCCCCCACCCCCGGCCCCCGCTCCGGCCCGCCCAAACTTCCCCGGGGGTGCCCAGGGGCCCGGCACACGCAGACGCCCGGGCCCGCGGCGTGGGCGGCCTGTGCGCGTGCGTCGGCGCCCGGCCCTCCGCCGCCCACGTGCGCGCCCCCGAGCCCCGGCGCGCGCCGCGGCGGGCTGGCGGGAAAGCGCGCGGGAAGCCCCCGGCGGGCTCCGGGGTGGGGGAGGGCGGCCGGGAGGCCTTTGGAACGTGCCACTGTGGGAGGCGGCGGGGGGATTCCGGTGCTCGGCGGACGCGGGCCCCCGCTCCCACCCGCCCGCGCCAATCCGTTAGGTTCCCCCAGCGTTCCCCGCCGCGGAACGGAGCCCCGCGCCGCGGCCCCGCTCCCTGCCCGCGCCCTGGGGCCCGGCCCCCGGGAGCCCGGCTCGGGCCCGAGCGGTCCTCGCCGCCGCCGGAGCGGGGCGCTGCGCCGCGCGCCGGGGCCGGAAATTCCCGCGGCCTGAGCGCCCGAGCCCCGGGCCGGCCGAGGCGCGGCGCCGCCTTCCCCCTCCCCGGGCCGGGCAGCCCGAGTGGGGGCGGGGGGCCGGGCGGTCGGCGCGTGCGAGCGGCCGCGGGGAGACCCTGCGCCCCGGCTCCGAGCCCCCGCCCCCTCGCCGTCTCCGCCTCCTTGCCTCACACACCCCCCGGGCCGCCCGAGCCCCAGGCCTTCCCGGCGCTGCTCCTCCTCCTCCTCCTCCTCCTCCTCCTCCTCCTCCTCCTCCTCCTCCTCGGCCGCAGCCACCGCCGCCGCCGCCTCCTCCTCCTCCTCCTCCTCGCACTCGCCCTCCGACCCGGGTCCTCCTGCAGCTCGCCGGCCTTGCTCCCTCCACGGCGAGTCCTGGTTCGCGGGGCGCGCGGTCCGCACGCACCCCGGCTCCCTGGGCCGCCTCTCCTCGCGGCCCGCCCTCGTCCCCGCTGCGGCCGCCGTCTGGGGAGGAGGATTGATGTCCCATCAGCATCATGCAGCCGCCGCCGAGGAAGGTGAGGGTGCAGTTTATTTTGGGGGGAGGGGGGCTTTTGTGGCTGGGGGGGGGCGGGGGTGGGGAGATGCGTCCCTGCAACGCGGCTCGGGCTCCCGCTGTGCCTCCTCCTCCCCTCCCGTGCTCCCCTCCGCCAGGGGCCGTGACCGCCGTTGCCTGGGACTTGTCACCCAGTTGCCTTTGGCTCCAGGCTCCGGGGTGAGCCTGTGAGGTGCCTTCCGACGCCGGAGCGGCCGGGGTTCGGTTGCCTTCCACCGCGCCGGCCAGCCCCCAGATGTTTCACCAGAGTTTCGGGCGTGCATGTGCGTGTGTGTGTGTGTGTGTGTGTGTGTGTGTGCGCGCGTGCCCGGGCGCGCGCCCGCGCTGCTCGCTGCAAAGTGCATTCTCGGGGCTGCGGCGAGGGGAGGCGTTGGGGGGGGGGCGCCCCAGCAGCTTTGCAGAGAGCCTTGTGCTTGGGGGATTGTTTAGTCTGCTCCAGGTTTGGGCTCTCCAGCCGCCGGTCGCCACCCTCGCTCGTTCGTACGTTTGCACGTTTGCACGTTTGCTGGGAATTGGTTTACTGCCCAACCTTAACGTTCGGCCTGCTTTTCCCACGGGGCGACCCAAGAGAAGTTGGAGGACACGTCCCCGTCGCCCCCCACCCCCGCCCCAAGGGCAAAGGAGAAATGAAGGGTTGACCGGTTCCCCCCTCTAGGCCCCCTTCTCCTGCCTCGCCGCTCCTCTGGCTTGGGGGCGAGGAAGCTGTGGCGCCTAGAACCGGCCAGTGCGTGGCGTGTGTGCCGCGATCTGGTCTCGGGTGACAGGGGTTGGGGTCGGGGCAGTGTCAGCAGCATCCCGGCGGCGCCTTAAGACCTTTCGGACCCCCTTTCACTGTCCCCATCCCCAGTTTTCCTTGGGGCTGTGCCTGTGCCCTTGTCTTTTGAATCCTGCAGATGGTTACTGACCGTCTCCCTGGGCGCCGGGTGGAGGCTTATTCTGTCCTCCCCTCGTGGGCAAACATTTGCTAAATGTCTAACTGACTCGTGTCAGCGCCCTCTTCTTTCTTTCCTAACCCGGGTTTCTCTAGTTAAAGGAGCCTCCTTTTTTTTTTCCACGCTCCTCCCCTCTCGCCCCTCTCATCCCTAAGCCGCTGGAGGCCGGAGAGGGGGACTCCAGGACCCCCCTATAAACTGGATGTCCGGGTCCAGCCTGGGTCCGGCCTGCCGAGACAGCGGCCAGCTTGCATTTGCTGTTCTCTCTGGGCCATTTGAAAGTAGAGCCGCCACGGGAACCAGCTTGCTGGGGTGACTTAAAAGCCCCACATATCCTGGAAGGTCACTTTTGCTATTTTTCCTTTGTGAGAAAGGGTTTGTGATTTGATGCTGCTGGCCAGGGGAGGGTATCATCTTGAAACGTGCTTTCTTGCAGCCATTATAGATTACTTTATGTAGTGGATTCATGCATTTATCCCATGATTGTGTCCGATCTGGTCCTTAAGCATACCCTTATCCCATCCAAGCTTTGCGCACCTCTTTAGGGCATTAATGCCTTTGCCTTCTTTTCTGGAAGAGAGATAGAGTGATTGTTAAAACTCTTAAGACTTCTGACCTTGTGTATGAAAGAGACCAACTGGCGGTTTATTTTGCATCCCTTCAATCTGTAGCTTTTGCCTAGTTTTTTCATTGACTGTCCTTTGTGTGTGTGTATGTGTGTGTGTGTGTGGGGGGGATGCAGAAAGTTGGGGCCACACGTGGCAATACTCAAGGGTTAATTCTGGCTCTGCACTTAGGAATCCCTCCTGACTGTGCTCATGCTCAGGACCATATGGGATGCTGGGGATCGAACCCTGATCAGCCCAAGGAAGGTTTCCTGTACATGGTATTATCTGTCCGGCCCCTCATTGACTATCTTTAATATTCACAACTAATAATGGATTTGTAGCCTTCAGGGAAGCTGTGAGCAAGATATTTGTTTATATAAGTATTAAGTTTAGATATTTTATTTTGGTTGTTTTTAAGGCCCTCATAAATATATGATACATTTTAGGTGAAGGTTACACAAGAACTGAAAAACATTCAAGTTGAGCAGATGACCAAACTTCAGGCCAAACATCAAGCAGAATGTGATTTGCTTGAAGATATGAGGTAAGGTTATAATGAATAGTTTGAGAACTTCTGTATCTCTGTTTCAAAGAACCTTTGAGTTACCAAGCCCCAGGAACTGATGATGGAATTTCCTTTTGGATTTCCTGCTTTAAGTCTGTTAGAACTTTGACTCAGCTAGAAATTATAACTGGAACTAACACAATGCAAACTATTTTTCATTTAATGGGGGAACTTACAGTGTACATATATTATTAAGAAAAAAATTAGGGCCTTAAAAGCTTGGCAGTCAAATTATAGCCACTGAAGTAGAAATTCTTATTTATATAAAATACCATATTTTGACATTTATCGACCTGAAGGATTTCATGCAGATTTAAAAACTGACTGTTTTGGTTAATGGTTAATATCTGGGACTGGTATAGTTTACCTCACATGTAAACACAACTTTGACAGTGTACTGGGACATTTATTTATTTGATCATTTAAGTTACCTGTTTATAATCAATATAACTAGAATTTAATACGTAAGACCGTTGTCAGTATATTTTTTTCCTCTATTGTCAGTTTTTAGCCACACCTGGCTATACTTAGGTGTTATTCCAGGTTCTGTGCTCAGGGATTACGCCTGGTGGTATTGGGGGAATCATATGTGGTGCTGGTCAATCGTATGCCAGGCAAGTGACTTAGGACCTGTATTTTCTTTATAGAGAAAAGTTGGAGTAATTATTGAAAGAAATGACATTTATCAACAATTCTGTAATGAAAACTGACAGTTCAATAAACATATTTGTAAAGCATAGAAGTTGATTTACAGGTTGAAACAAAGTGACTGCAATTCTTATTTTGTAGTAGTAATAGATTTATCAAATTAGGAATTAAGTCTATAAATCTTATCAGTTGCCTAGTTTTCCTGGAGAGTTCAACTTCTTCTAGGTTTCCTGTGAAAAGTTAATTGTATATTGTGTTTGAATAAGTGTCTGAGTAACTGAGTTTATTCCTAGTTCAAAGATTTTTTTTAAAGTTCCTATCTATCATATTTAATTTAGATACACATTATAAGTATTTCTATAGAATACCTATTTTTTCAGTTTTTGTTTAGTTTTGTTTCTGGGCGACACTTGGCTGTGCTCAGGATTTATTCCTAGTTGTGCTCAGAGGACCATATGTGGTGTCAGGGATTAAACCTGTTGTATAGCTTGCCACATACAAGGCAAGTACCTTAATTGCTGTAGCATCTCTCTGGCCTTCTTTCAGGGTGTTTGAAGCATATTAGTCTAATTGCATCTAATTGGGTATACCAAGATCTTTGCTTTCTGTTGGAAAAACTTTGTTTTTGTTTTTCTCGTGGTCATGAAGAAATTTTTAGCTAAGTATTTTCTATGCAAGATACTTGGAAGTCTTCATATTGTTAAAATTCAAGTTTTTGACACCTGTTTAATGAACTCGGCTCTTTTGAGAAATAGGGGCTATTCCCAGCAATGCTTGGGGTCCACTAAAACTACATCTAGAAGCATTGGGGGTGGGAGTGGCATGTGGCTGGTACTGGAGATCAAACATGGGCATGCTACATGAGCCATCTCCCTTGCTGTTTTTATAATTGTTTGTTTTAATAGAAAGCTGTAGATGAAGGAAGTAATGTCAGAAGCAGTTAAGAAAGGCAATTTAGTGTGCAAATGAAGACCCTCTGTGTCAATGGTCATTGAGGTTCGTTGCTTTTGTCTTTAATAAAACTTCTTGTTAGCAAGGCCAGAATTATAGTACAGTGGGTAGGGCACTTACCTACCATGTGGCTGATCTGGGTTTGATCCCTGAACATCCCATATGGTCCCCCAAGCACCACCAGGAGTAATTCCTGATCTCAGAGCCAGGAGTAGCCCGTGAGCATCTCTGGGTGTGGCACCCCCCCAAAAAAAAAAAAACCAAAAAAAATTGTTTGCATTCTTTACTCATTTCTCCTTTTGCTGGAGCATATGGTGAAATTAAGTCAAATGCTTCTGAATGTGTGTCCGGGCTCTGTCTCCTACTAGCTGTGTTGACATCTGGATATCAAGTGAACCTTTCTCAGCTTCATTTTTCTCAGTTGTGTAATGGAGCAGTAATGGTCTCTTAGTGAGCGTTTTCGAGCTGAAATAAAATCAGAGTGCTTTGGGATGTGGTATGCTAAGTTGATGGCTCAGTGTCAATGCCCTGTGGGGCCTGGGACCACTACCACCTCATTCATCTTTCCCTGTGGCTCCACTTCAGCACTTCTGATTTTCTAATTGCGCTCTCTGTTCCTGCCTTTGGTTATTCTCTTTGTTTCTTGGTTCTCATTAGCCAGCTTTTTTTTTTACCTGGCCAAGTTTGGTTCCCACAAAGTTTGCAAGTTTGTTCTCTGTAACAATGTCAATTTTATAGCCAGGGGCCAAGTCTTAAGTGGTTTTTGTATCTTTGTAACCTTTGTATAAGTTGGCAGAATTGTTACATGACTGTAGCTTGTTATATTGAAATGTACCTTGTTTATTTTTAGTGAGAAGTTTTATAAGCTTTTGTAGGGTTCAGAAATGGGTGATGGGTGATGTCTTTTGAATTTGTGTTATACTTTGATGCATGTGTATACTTTAGAGTGGGCTAACTGATTTAGTTTATCTGTATATATATTATATAAATAGAGAAATATTTCAAGGATAAATGTATTTTTATTTTAATGTAATTTCAATATATTCTTTTGAGTTAGTTGATGAATCCCTTTTTTTTTTTTTTGGGAGGGGGGGACACACCTGGGCTGCTCAGAGGTTACACCTGGCTCTGCTCTCAGTAATCACCCCTGGCAGTGCTGGGGGACCATATGGGATGCTGAGGATGATGCTCTTGTTGACCATCTGCAAGGCAAGTAAGTGCCTTACCTGCTGCACTATCCCTCTGACCCCTCCCCCTTTTTTGGGGGGAGGGGGTAGGAGGGCTTCCCACGCAGGAAGTCAAGGGGTCTCCTCCCTTGGATTCTCAGCCGGCTGGGCCTATGGATGCACTGCTGCTTGGGTCAGAAGGTGCCCACCCCCCTCCCCGGGTACTGTGGGCTTCCTTGAGCTGCACCTGGCAAAAATTGGGGACTCTTGGGAGAGTTATGTGCCTTATTAGCCCTGGTGCTATCTCTGGCCTCTTGGTGAATCATTTTGTTCCTGTATAGTTGTGATCAGATTCTCTGTTACTTCCTAAACATGAGTTTATTTTCTGATTTTCTTTTTTCTCTCTCCATGACGGTACTGAATTAGAAATAGAAAATTTCCCGCTTTCGGTATTTGGGATAACTTATGTTGCTTGAGAAGGGATGATAGTAGTTTGGCTTTTCTGATTTATCCTACCTAGCAAGTGGAATAACTTTTAAAACATTCTTTACAAGTCTCTCAATGTGTTAAAAAAAAATCTCCTATTTTCTTTGAGGGGGCAGGTGCACAGCTTGTAGTACTGATAGGCTCTTCCTGACTCTGCTCAAGAATGATCCCTGGCGGTGTCTTGGATCATTCTTGGGTCATGCGTGGAGCCTGGGATCCAACTAGGATTGGCTGCATGCAAAACAAGTGCGTTAGCCCCTGTGCTCTCTCTGGCCAGAATGTAACTTTATTGTAAAATACTTTGCCTTCTTTTTCTTTAACCATCCCCTTCCTTCCAGAAATACCATAAACAGCCCTCTTTCTTGTTGATGGCCCTCAACAAGTGTTGTTGTTAAGAATTCGCTTGACAGCTATGAATTCGCTTGACAGTGGACTGGAACACATGCTTTGCCTACAGGATCCCTGTACCACATAGTCACCCAGGAATGGGCCTGAGGACTGAGTTGGCAAGTGCCGCTGACCATCACCAAGCATTGGACACTAAGCAGTTGTTTTTTAAAAGAGTGCGAATTATTCTTTTTTCCCTTTCTTTGGGGGGGCCATACCCAGCTGTACTCGGGACTTATTCCTTGTTACAGGCTTATGGATCATTCCTAGTAGGGTTCAGGGTAACATAAGGAGTACCGGAGCTCGAACCCCAGCTGGCTGCGTGCAAGGCAAGTACCCTACCCACTGTGCTCTTGCTCTGGCCCCCATAATCCTGATTTATTTATTTATGTATTTAATTTTTGGGAGATCATGCCTGGTGGTGCTCAGGGCTTACTTCTGGTCCTGGGCTCAGGGATCACTTCTGTTGGGAATTGGGGGGCGGGGCACAGTTGAACCCCAGTTGGCTGTATGCAAGGCAAGAGCAAGAATATTAGATGTCCTATCTCTCTGGCCCTCATTGTACTGGTCTCTCTCTCTCTGGGTTTTTGTATGTTTGTTTGTTTCTGGGTTTTGGACCACACCTGCCAGTGCTTAATTAAGGCTTACTTCTGGCTCAGGGATCACTCCTGGCAGGCTCTGTAGACCATGTGGGCATTGAAGCAGGGTGGGCTGCTTGCAAAACAAATGCCCTATCTGCTTTCATTCTGGTTCTCTCTCTAGTTTAGTCACACCCAGAAGAGCTTAGGCTACTCCTGGCTCTGTGTTCAGGGCTCACTCTTGGGAGGTGCTGGGGATTAAACCAGGGTTGGCTCATGTGAAGGAAGTGACTGAACCTCATACTATCTCTCTGGGCCCTCCAGGTACTGGGGGTAGAAAGCTTGCAGTGGTGGGGGATTAGTTTCAGGACCTTGCACATGCTAGGCATGTGTTCTTACCACTTCAGCCACATCACTGGCCTTAGCTTTTCATTTTGTTTACAAATTTAAGTTTCTTGGGGGTGCTGGAGGCCGAATCCAGGGTTTCACATAGGCAAAACAAGTGCTTTGCCACTGAGCTACAACCCTCAGTTATTTTTTTTAAATTTTTATTTATTTATTTTTTTCAGTTATTTTTTTAAATTATTATTTTTTCCCCTTCTGGGGACCTTGACTGCCCTCAGTGTTTGGAGGGCATCAGGGATGAAGCTCTGGGTCTCACACTTGTCTGAGCCACTGACTTTTTCTTCCAATTTTTCTGGCTAGGATTTCTAACAGCCCAGCTGTCATGCTTTTTCCCTCCTTTTTTTCTGAGCAGTGGCCG